TTCTAATTTTCCCCTGCATGCTTGATGAGGGAAATTTAGAAGACAAAAGCGTACCTCATTACCTCTGATTGGAGAGCTGTACCTCATCGAAAATCATCGGCACAACTATGAATAGTATCTGACGACACCGTCCCGTACACATTCGAACAATCACTTTGCCAGCTTTTATTCCCTAATCTTGAACATTTTAATTGTGGGAGAAAATTCCGTTTATGCGCATGCCTAAAACGCCAATGAACGCGGAGATGTGTTTCTGCGCGTGCGTATATATGAAAAGTGTTCGTACCACAATCATAAGACAATCAAACAGCATTCAAAACAGGCAACACACCACGCGCGATTCCCTCGTTAACAATGATATTACAAACTAATAACATGACTAGTCGGGAAATTAGCGATTAAATTTCCCTTCGCCTCGGGAAGATTTGTGAAAGTCCTCGGGCTTCGCCCTCGGACTTTCACAAATCTTCCCTCGGCGTCGGGAAACTTAATCGCTAATTTCCCTCTAGTCATGTTATTACTTATAATAACTAGATCTTCACTAGTGAAGATATCGAGTTCATTTTCTTTGTTATTTTTACTAACGACTATATAATAAAAAGAACTTTAAATACACGGTGGCTTGAAGTTTCATATCTTATTATTATTTTATCTTCTCGTGGTGAAAACTGAAAACAATATTTTTTTCTCACTCAAACGTAAAATTTATATCTTCGCACCGCCTTTCGCACAGACTGACTCAGCCCCCCCCCTCCCCCCCGGCCTCCCTCTCCCACTGGAGCTGAGGAGAAACAGCAGACTAATCTCAGAGGCAGTGCCATTCTCGTACCCAGAGACCTTCTTACGCGCGGTCAACGGAGCGCGACGAGGGGCTCTGGCCAAATCCATATCAAACTGGCATCTGATTGGCTACAACGAAGGTTATTGTTCTAATACCTGATATATTCTATTACCATGTTTTTATGATATCCGGTTATGGATTTGGCCAGAGCCCCTCGTCGCACCGCGCGTAAGAAGAGCTCTGGATACGATAATGAGGCAGTGCTGATCAGTCTACTATCGCATACTACACCCTGTCTCCGTACCCAGGCATTTCTTTGTAAAAAACAGCGATGCGCATATGACGAGTTCACATGAAGTATTGTAGTATTACACCGCCGTCTACCATCCTCTATATAGTACTCTCCTTAACCTTTCAAGACTAATAATGGGAGGCTGGACGCGCAGCGGCGGGGATATTAAACAAACTGAGGTAGTCATTTTTATAATAGGATTAGATAAGAGCAAATTTGACAATTAAGGATAATCCCTAATACTACGTGTGAGGATATGCAGAATAGCACTGATAGCTTCGAATACATATTTTGAACAAAACAATACTTAAAATGTACAAATTTTGAATATATTCTTTTCCAAAATACACATAGTAATTACTGTATAAGATGTACAACAAAGTGCATTATAAAAACGATTTATAATAAAGTAAATTTACATTGCTACGTTTCGTTCTCCATACTTTTATAAACGTAATAACACGTGTTTGAAGTTGCGAAGAAGTAAATATGAATCGGAGTTGTTCGGAAATTACCAGAACATTCGGAAACGCCAGTGTATAATTAACTCGAAGTTTAACTCGAACTCGAACTCCAACTCGAATCCAACTCGATGTTTCGGGATTCCCATTGCAATGGTATGTCAAGATACGAAATACCTTAAAAAAAACAAATACAACAATTATCGAAGAAAAAACAGAATGCGTGATCTCGAAATTACGGCAAATTCAAAATATTTCGAATTTCAGGTACTTGAAAAATGTATCGAGCTTCGGTGTAATTGCCTAAATGTATTGTGAGAACTTTTACATTTATCTATCAGTAATTACTTTAATAACCTATTCATGTGTATTATTTTAAACGTTCTTAATTGTTTTAATATTGTTTTTATATTGTAGGATGACACCAGCAAAAAATCATGCCAAGATTATTATTCTAGTTTCATCTTGTTATTTAAGAAAAATATTCTTAAAAGCCATGCACACCGGCTGGATCGAACTAGAATAATTTTCTTAGCAAGATTTCAATTCAAGATAATTTTTCTAATTTTGTCCCGTGGGTAAGTAAAATTTTGTTTGGGACTGGTCATAAAGTAACTGCTAGTGTGGGCTGGAGGTAAATCACAAACTTTGCCAATAAGTTTGGTGACCCATCTTAGGATGTAGATAAAAATTTCAAAGCCCATCCAATCTTACCAAATTTATTTCATGACCCACCCACCCAATCTAAATTGGGGAAATACACTTTTATAATGAAAAAAACTTCAAGGTATGAACATATATCAATACAGTGACGGTGTATATCTTTAATGTTGTATCTGCGAAGCAAATTAGTATTAACGTTTATACCCATAGCCATTCAGCGACGAGCTTGTATAATTAAGCCAATCAGCGATTAGCTTACATCAATTGTTTACATCGTGCTCGCACCTAACCTGCGAATGGGCGTAGTTTGGCCTCGTGTAAGTCGTGTACTCGTGTTATTCTTTGCCATATTTTGGCTTCAAAAATATCTTGATTTTATCTTGAATTGGCTGTCTTGTTTTCACCATTCTACTTGTGATATTATTCCAAAGTTATCTATCATGGAAACTTACCGTATTTACTCGATTGAGCGCCGCCCTCGATTGAGTGCCGCCCCGAATAAGCGCTGCATTTGAGATAATTTTTTTTTGAAGAGCGCCGCCCCCGAATGAGCGCCGCACTAAACAGTGTAAAAACTTTCCATCGTCAAAATGGAGACATTTAGTGACAAAGACATTTAATACTTGTTTATTTCATTGTTAAAAGTTCTTGTTATAATTCACAAATAAAATATTTTTTAAAGAGCGCCACCCCCGAATGAGCGCCGCATCTGAAGCTCTGAAAATTTAAAGAGCGCCGCGGCACTCAAACGAGCAAATACGGTACCCTCATTTGGTAAGTAACCAAATATACCACATATTTTATTATATACATTTATTATTTTATACCGTATAAAAACAATCATTGTGTAATATTTTAAACAGTCAAAACTCTGACTGCAGGCATTATATTGCCAATTAACAATATCACAAGAAACTAATGTTCGTTCTCAGGAGATATTGAATTAAATCCTGGTCCTGTATTTCTGTAACTCTGTTCAAAACAACAGTCCAACTAAGTTGTCATCAAATGTAGTGTTAGAGCAAAGGTAAAGATGTCATCAGTTAAAATTATACTTTATATACATTTTGGTTTTACACAATAGAGTTAATTAATCAAAATTGTTACAACCATTTTCAAATGCTAATAAAAGAATCCCTACCCTCCCTCCTCATTACATTGTCATTTTGCTTTCTAATATAAATGTTTTTGTTTAGAGATTAATAGAAGAATGATGAATACATGTACTGATCTACTGGATATTGTAGGATATTGTGTCAGAACAACCCACTTGCAAGACAATCTTACCTAAATTCATCAGTATGGAAAATAACTTAACAGCTACAATAATCATATATTATATGGATGGATCAGATCAATGGCACACAATGTACAAAACTAAACTTGTGATATCTTGTACTCAAACAGATATTCTCCCACAACACAAATTGTTTTTGTGTGGATATGCCGAGTTAAACCGAACAGTGTGGTATATCATTAACTGTGCATAGGGTTGGAATGGAATTATATACTTCACTCATGACCTTCAAAATATTCTCTACTATTCAGTGCATGGTCTTCAATATATGATTGACTCTTTGCTACAGTAATGCATGTTACTTGAATAGTGTGTATGTTACTCAACAGTTAACATTGGTGTAAACAACAAGTGACAGACAAGTGACTTTTGCTTCATATGATCACAATAAAGTTTTGAAAATTCGATTAGTATGGATTGACAAGTGACAATTTACTAAATAGCCGGCTGTATAGACACTTACTGTTTGTGTGAAATTTTTATTTCCAGACTGCATAATTATCCGCTACAAACATAATCACATTATAAAATTAGTTAAATTTTAGGGGGGGCAGTTGCCCCTGCTGCCCTCTGTGCAGTGTACAGCCCTGTTAGATTTGTATTATGTTTGATTTTAAAATCTTATTTGCTATTATATTTATCATAATAAGTGATGAAAGCAGGGAAGCTTGTAAAAGTTAGGTGGGACAACTCCCACTAGGCGCCACCATGGTTGGCGCCGAGGCCCCCCTGGCTTCCTACGCCCCTGGATGAAAGTAGATATGGGTTTTTGTTTGGTGGCCCAACCGTAGACATACAAAATAATTGGCGACCCATCCAAACTGCCCAAAGATTTTCCATGGCTCATCCCAAATCCCTCCGGCCCACCCTAGCAGTTACTTTATGACCGGTCCCTTATTAAGATTATTTTTCTTATTTCAAGAATACGTTCTAGCAAAATTTTCTTATTACTAGAAAATAATTCTTGGGGAACTAAGAGTTTTTTTCTAGAAATAAGAAAATTTTGCTAGAACGTTTCTTGAAATAAGAAAAATATTCTTGATAAGAAAATTTTACTTACCCACGGGACAAAATTAGAAAAATTTTCTTACCAAGAATTTTGTTCTAACAAAGAATAATTTTCTTATTTTATGAATAATTTTCTTGAAATCTGATTCTTACCTAGAATATTTTACTTATACCCACGGGACAACTAAAATATTCTTAAAACAAGTAATTTTGTGCTTAAAATAAGTAATATTTTCTTAAAATGAGAAATTGATATATATATATATATATATATATATATATATATATATATATATATATATATATATATATATATATATATATATATATATATATATATATATAAGTTACTTTCATCCTGCTGATCAGCACTACACTGATGAGGCCGAAACGGTACCGTCTGTAGTTAGATATCGCTCTATGGCCTTTAGGTATAAATATATAACTATACATGTTGTAGTTTCAAAGTCGTCATATAAATATTTGGAGATGCAGCACCTCCATTAGCTACACAGTGCTGATGAGCCCCAAAAGGGCGAAACAGCTGTCCACAGTTGCTAATGTGAGCAGGACACACTAAAGTCATAGTCCGTTCATGGCTCTTTACGCTGCTTTGAAACTACGACATGTAGTACGCATGCGTATTCGAGATATGACTTACTTTGTCACTTTTATAACATTTTGTGTGTCCCACATACGCATCCTACTTTGTCGTCATATATATATATATTTATATATATATATATATATATATATATATATATATATATATATATATATATATATATATATATATATATATATATATATATATATACAAAGCCTTGTCTTCTGTGCATCAGAATATTTGCCCATGGGTATGTCCCCATGAAAAGAGCAGAGTTTACTGTAATGGCAACGAAATTTAATTATTTAAGTCTGCATGCATTCAGTTTAGGCTGTAGGACGATGTTTAACTGTAGAATAAGTTACTATAATACCATGCATACAAATTTTCTGGCCTTTGTGTTTTCGTTCTCGAGATATTTTAGTTTCGTTTAATAGCTATGTAAATGAAATAAACCTATGACATTATTGACGCTAGTAAAATACTAATTTCAAAGATCTAGTGGCATGCAGTTTCATTGATGGTTCAAAAATGATAAAATCATTCAAGATGTAATATATGAACAACGAGAGCGAGTGTTTCACCGGGATATCCAAACACGAGAAAACAATGTATGAGAACACGAGCGCGAAGCGCGAGTGTTTTCATACATTGTTTTCGAGTGTTTGGATATCCCGGTGAGACACGAGCTCGAGTTGTTTATATGGCTTCTCAAATGAATCGAGACGTAACAGAATGTTTTCGTTGGTTCATTAACGATTTTTTGTGGACTTAATCCTGCTATCAGGCCAGCAGCCTTCGTTGCTTTTCGCTGGGCATCGTCAAATTGCGTGCTGATTTGAATAGAATTCTTAACCAAGCATAACGTAATTAGAAATTCTATTCAAGTAATTTTGCATGCGTAATTAAGATATTTGATGAAAACACTAGTGACTTTCATCAAGTATCCAAATGGCATCTTGTGATCAAATAGGTGATTATCATTGGCTGAATTGCTCATGAATTATTAATGAATTTGAGAAATATATTGTTTATTCCTTTCACCAACTTGCATACCGGCAAAGTTATGCAGCAAGCGCGTGCTGGCGCTGTTGGTTTATAAAGCTTGTTTCGTTAAGATTTCCTCCGACCTGTTCCTACATATAGCACTAACACTGATAGTATATAAACTATATACGGTTTCGTAGCTCCTGTAGCTGTATACAAATAAAAGGATTAAGTACTTGTTTTATAATAAACGGCTGAAGTATGTCGTTTCTAATTTTCTTTGTTCAGAAAATGGGGGCAAAAAATTGCTCTCCTGTCTGTATACCCCCACAAGCTTGCAATAATAGTTAGTTATACATTCAGTATTGAAATTTTTCAAAAGAGATATCTCGTTCTATTTGGATCTGCATCAATTTGCGAGGCACCCAAAACATGTGAGTCATTGCACATGCGCTAAAAATATACTCGTAAGTCTCTATTAGTCAAAACGTCCTCGTTTCACAATGTGTAAGAGACCTGGATCCACGCCTTCTATGTAGTAAATTTGATGCGGAAGCTGCATACTTAAAACATTGCATTTGCATAAACTCAGAAATTTGTAGTACAAGATAGTAGTAGTTATTCTTCAAAACAGTCTTTCGTCTCAGTATGGAAATGATCACCAAAATATTACCGAGAAACCCAAATACAATTACTACAGCGAAAGAATATCTGTCGACATCCTATGATGTCTTACCCATTCTTTCGTTCAAGTAATTTGAGTTGTGACTTTCGTTGCTGGAAGCAAGGTCGTTCCTAGCGCGATAATTGGGGTGTATATTCATATATTCGTGTTCTGCCCGACGGATTTCTTTTGAAAGCGATTGTTTTTACGGTATGTGAACATGAATATATGAATATACACCCCCCCAATTATCGCGTCTATAGGAACGGCCCTGGCTGGAAGGCAAATTCATGATCAAACTGGTAGCTTGTCTGTGCAATTTTTTTCGAAAAACAGGACAAATGGCAAATACAGCTGTAAGTTAGTTTACGTGCAGCATATAAGGCATTAAAAGACGTATTCTGCCAATAAAAACCCTGTACATATCGGCATGGTTTCCATGGTGAATAGCGTCACTTAATTAAGGGTTAGCAAATAGTGGAAAAATTGGTAATAGCATGGATGAAAGCAAAAGGACTTAGCATATTAAGATTGAAGTTATTTTTTATATCTGTTTTATAGACTTACATTAATTTTCGGATAATCCCTTCTGATTGGTGAATAAACTAAAAATGTTATTTTACTAAACACTCCTAATTTAATTAAGAGGTGGCCGGCGTAGGCTTCTCTTCTAGAATTATCGAATACGTGTATGCTTTAAACGAAACAGTTGTAGCATGATCCTAACAGTTAAAATCTTTCCACATTACTATTAACTATAACTCTATATTGAACACACATTGAAGGATAGATTGAGTCTAAAAACGAATCATTTGCATTCCAGCAAAGATAATTGGGCATAGCGAAATATAGTTTAGAAAAATCTAGCTAGCCCCTATAGTGGCTACGGAACTTTTCTTTATCTGCCAGCAATACCCTTAAGATTTGACAAGTTATCAACTCCCTCTTCAATTTACTGGACATGAATAATTTGTAAGCTGTAAACTAGACACGTTTTGGTATTCTAAATTTCAGTACCTTATTGGAAATTGCCAGATGGACTGACATGCAAAAATAAAAATTATACAATATCTATGACATATTTAATAGCGTTTACTAGACATAGACACAGAGGTGTGCAATGCGAACGGCCATTTTTTTTGTTTTGAGATGCCTTGTGCATGTTTTATTTTTGAACTAATCCAGAAACTTAATTCATATTCAGTATAGATCATACCATTTGCGAAGTGGCTAGTGGTCAGGCAACTCCCGAGGGACAGTTAAATTATATTTTTATAATATTATAGGATATGTAGGGTTATCAATAAAAAAGACAACACTCATGCAGATACTTCTATTAAGCGATACAAGAAGTCACATTCTGGAATGCTACCCACTTATTGTCGGGCATGAGGTGTCCCTCCCCCCCCCCCACTTCATGATAAAGGCGCGCATGCGCTTGAAAGGTATACGAGGAAAAGGATTGGTTCATTTGAAATGACCTGCCACTGGCAATTTCAAATTAATTTAAAACGTCGCAAAAGGAAATGGCACACATAAAAAAGTAAAGTAAATTTTAATATATTTACTTCTTATGAAATCGGTAAAACACAACAAAATTTGATATTTTAATATGTATACAATTTAAGAGCAATATCATATTTTGTATTAAATATTCTTAAGCAATGCAGGAACAAATTAACAATTTAACTCAAAACTTTGTGAGCGATAATGAAATGAAGATCGGTTCTGATTCTCACACCCAAGACCTCCAAAACGGATTATTGTTGTCACACTTGTACCCAATCTATTTTCTGAGAACGCGTACGAAGAGGACTATGGACAAGGCTCTATCGATCTGAGATCGACGAAAAATGCACAAATACCTAAGTTTGTTAAAGACTAAGTCTTTTTTCGACAATTTTAGTTCACCATGACATTTCGATTTTGGAATTAAGTTCGGATTTAGCAATTTCTTTATCGGAAGGAAGCATTCCATGAGGTATTTTTGAATTCAATTGTATGACTTCTAGCTCTAGTAATGAAATAAATTACCTGAAATAATTACCAACAAAATCAACAGACAAATTGATGTGTCAATGATAAATCAATCAATCAATAAATCGTTCTAAAAACACTCCAAAACACTATGAATGAAGTTCTGGTCAAAAGTACAATGCACGCATTTTTACTGTCACGTTTATTCAAAGCTGAATCTAAATTTCTTCACAAGTCTTGTCGTAGCCTATTCACCGCTTCCTATTTTTGCACGAAGAAAATACAACTCTCATCCTGGAAGACCAATCGTCCATCTACGAAGCTGACAAACTATAAAGATGCCTCGTTTATATCCAGCTTGCTACAAGAGCTGTTCAATTTTCTTATGATCTCTGTTTCTTCTTGCGGCAAAGTTTCCAACATGTGAGCAATTTTTTGTCCAAGATTCCATATATCAGGGGGTTTGCAGAAATCGAACCAGCGACTCTCAGAACACTTGCCAAATAGATAAACCAAATATTTTTCGTTACTATATGATATTCCTCAGCGATTTCCAAAATTAAGTGCACAGACAGAGGAATATTCCCAGCTCCTTGACAAAGAACGGTAATGAGACAGACAAGAAAAATTCGCCAATTTTGGATAAATTTCAGGATACTGAAGGAAGGAGGCGCGCTTGGATTTGAACATACGCTTTTCATGTGTTTCTTTTGTTTCATCAGTGCTCGACCTATTTTATAATAAGCTACAGCCATAAATATTGTTGGGGCGTCAAGGAAGAATATTGTGCATGCATTACGAAATTTCGAAAAAGGATTATTCGGCGTAAAACATTCCGGCAGAAACACTCCATAACCTACAACCAAGCCAAGAAAGTACACCAAACCACAAACGACTTTCAATTTCCGTCGACTGACGGCAGGTTTTAATGGATGCACTGTAGCACGATAACGAAGCACTGAAATGATCAACATCATAACTGTTTCTGCGACTTGAAACATGTACGTTTTAGTAAAGAAAAAACAATACATGAAGGAATGATTATGAAGAGATTCTTCAGACCAATAACTAGCAATACCATCCAAAAGGTAAATGATCAGTGCTCCCAGATCGCACATTGCAAGATGTAGAACAAGAAAGTAGTAGTTGTTCTTCAACAAAATCTTTTGTCTTAGTATGGAAATTATTACCAAAATATTACCGAGCATTCCAAATGCTAGAACTGTAATGAAAGAGTATCTGAAAACATTATATGCTGCATTCCCCATTGTTTCGTTCGAGTAATTTGAGTTGTGACTTTCGTTGCTGAAAGACAATTGAAGATCAAACTGGCAGCT